CTGATCCGTGTCGATCAAAATAAACAATTCTATTGGCTTTAGGTCACGTGATGGACACGGCTTTAGACGACCCCCTTATTTGGGGACCGTTAAAGCCAAGAAATTTAATTACATTAAGGTTAGATTAGAGCCCATTTGGGTTAGGGCTAGAAAAGTCTTATAGGTAAAAATCATCTGCCCGACATTTTTAACATTGGTTTCTTGGGATTTACTTATTTGTGCGAGTGATACAAACCCAAAAAAGGAAATCCAACGTAAGTTCGTGAAAATAAAAATTTAGGGTTAGAACGTTTAAGTTAGATGCTATAGAAATAAACATTTACCTCCTATATGTAAAATTTCATTTTCGTCACTTTTAATTAGTGACCAAAGACAGGTTTAAACACCCAGTTTCTTGTATTTTCGCTATTTTCGTTTTTTTTCGTGTTTTTCTTCGCTAATTTCCCTTTTGAATTTGTATCACTCGCACAAATAAGTGCACGCGGTTTCTTGTGTTAAACAAAAATTCATGATTTTGATTGGTCGAAATCTCGTGATTGAACCTGTCTTTAACGGATCCCCTTATTTGGGACGTTCCTACCTGTAAACGTACCGGTACATTCTGTAATTATTACATTGTCCATCCCTAGCTAGGAGTTTGTATTACCGGCACAAATAAGTAGAGTGTCCAGGGGGCTGCTGCCTTAACAGACAAATTCTGCTGCGATTGCCGTTAGATTTGCGAATTCTGCGGCGGCATATAAATAATACTTTAAAAACAAAATCACATCAAAATCACAACAAAAAGAAAATTCTAATTTTATCACAATAGACTATGTTCTCCAATCATTTATTATCCTGCTCGCAGAATTCTGTACAAATTCTGCGCAGATTCTGCCGCCGCAGTCCCCTGGACACTCTACAAATAAGTAAATCCCGTTTTACCACACTATTCTCGTGAGTGATATAAATCCAAAAAGGGAAATTAGCCAATCGGAAAACGTAAAATGTGGATCAGCTCGACACGCGAGCAAAGTGAAGAAAAACACGAAAAAAAAAAACGAAACAAGCGACAATACAGGAAAACGAGTGTTTAAACCTGTATTGGTGCACTAATTAAAAATGATGGGAATGAAATTTTACATCTAGTAACTAAACGTTTATTTCTATGCCATCTAAATTTAACTTCTAACCCTAAATTTTTAATTTCTTTATTTTTACGTTGAATTTCCTTTTTGGGTTTGTATCACTTCTCGACGTACTCAGTTTTTGATTAAAAATTCAATATAGCTTCTTTTTAAAGTTATGATAGATTAGTCTTAATGGTATTTTCCGATTTTCGGATTAGCACACGTGAATTATCGACTCTATAGTTAAAAGAATGTGCAAATTAGGAATTTTAAATTGTCATAATTGTATGAATGTTGTGCGTTGTTATGTATTTTAACTACGTACGCTCGATTAGACAACAAATTAAGTTGTAGGTTCATATGAAAGAGATCTGCTTGTTTATAATTATTAAAAATTTGTTCGGATGGCTACTTGAATCATAACATTTTCTTTGCATTTTTTTAAAAAAATTACTTCACACACTCTTTCAATTATTGAGAAAAAAAATAAGTTTAAAAAAAGGCTCATTCCTGTGACGATAAAAGGTTCAGCTAGGGCATACAATTCGTTTAAATTATATTTTTATTATTAATGTTCAGAATAGCTTGTAAAAAATATTAACATTCTTTATAATAAAGAAATAATGGGACGACAAAAATGCGATTTTGATCGTATGAAAAGACTAGATTCAAGATTGGCTAAGCGATATAAAAAAATGCGAAAGAAATTCGAAAAAGGATCTTTATTATCAAACATCCTGCGTGGTCCTTTTTTTACCGGTCTTTATGCTTGTATGTATGCTTATGTATGCTTGTATGCATGGTTGTTGTAATAAAGGTAATAATTGCATCTAACCATTATTTAGTAGGATTGTATCCCCGAGTATTCTTCAACCACCGGATAAACAATAATCCACTTCATCCATCATTAACAATCTATCAAGAAACCGTAATCCGCACTTTGAAATGGGCATTTAATTCACCATTAACTTCTATTCGAAAAAACGTATCACTTTTCGAGTCGTTTATGAAAAAATTTAAATGCACTGAACCAATAGAACCATTAATTGACGATATCGATACCGATTTAAACGGATATTGGTTAGGTGCTGAGACTTGGCAAGGTCAACCTCCAGAAGCTATTTTGTTATACGTTCATGGTAAGTCTAAATTTTATTTTCTTTTATTTTTTCTTTTATTTTTATTTTTTTATTTTTTTTTTAAATCGATTTTTAAACTTTTTTTTTTTTTGTTTAAAAAAAAAAAGGAGGACCATACATATCAGTTACATCACTATTAGGTGTTCAATCTTTATGTTTTTTATTACAAACTTTAAGAACAAAGTATAATAAACATATTAGAGTGTTAACTATCGACTATGAACTAGCATCCGATGAGCCGTTCCCCGTTGGATTAAATTATTTGGAACGTGTTTATCGATGGTTGGTTTCTAGTGGTAGACCCGGTAGCAAAAAAGTCTTTTTATGTAAGTATCGAGAATATTTTACCAGAGTTGGCAAATGACTTTTAAATGACATTGTGACATTGTTATTTTTCACTTTGTTATTTAGAAGGTAAATGACAAATGACAAAAAATAGTTTATATTTAAAAATGTTAAGATCCAAGATTGTTAAGGTTTATGTCACTTCGGGCATTTTAGGATTGGTTAAATCCTAAAACACCCGATGTCTTAACAATCTCAAGATTCTGTGATTGGCTAAAATTTGTTATTTTTAAATGACAAAAATAATAAATGATTTTTGTCACTTACTAATTTGTCATATGTCACTAAAATTTTAAATGACATTGTCATTTGCCAACCTTGTATTTTACATATTCATGGTGTAAGGCTAATATTATTTGTATTTTTGTTAATAAATAATATTTATGTATTTTTTTTGCAATATATAGGTGGGGACTCGATAGGTGCAGTAATGGTTTTAGGACTTTTACAACATATATATACAGATAATAACATCTCTGCTGATTCAATTAACCCTATGGGTGCAATACTAATTTCTCCTTGGGTAGATCTATCATGTGACTCTTTTTCATATTTCACAAATGAAAAATATGATTATCTATCAAGCTGTTTGTTGCGATTCGCTTCAGAGTATTATGTATTTGGCCAAAAAGGTGATCCAATTCTTAATAAACATCGGTCCAGAAATCTTAATTCCAAAATATCCCAAGATAAGAATATTTTTTCTTGGTTAGAAGATGTTGAAGATACTTTTGATATTAATGATATAAAGAATATAGATGAAAATAATGATATAAAGAATATAGATGAAAGCAAGAATTTAGATGAAAGCAATAATATAAAGAATTTAGATGAAAGTAATGATACTGAAACTGGAATTAGTTCGAGAAAAGAGGTTGAAAGTATTGATACTAGGACTAATGAAAAAGTTGAAGAATCCAAAGATGGAAAAAATTCTCTTGTTTTAGATTCATATAATGACCAAATGTTAAATCATGACAGTAATATAGATAATGAAATACGAACTGATTTAGAATTACGTAATAATAACATTCTTGAAGCATACAATAAAATCGACTCTCGAATTACTTCAGTTACTTTAGATAATAATGATTCAAAATCACTTTTTGATAGTATTCTTGATGCATATGGTAGAAATCCTAGCATGGTTAACACACACAGAAGAAATAATAATATTGACTCTCTCAGCAGATCTGGAT